AATTTTTCAAATGAATTTCTCTACTAATTGGAATTTTCTCTTACAGCTTGAGCCTAAGTGTGTCGCAGGATACCCTCTAGGTGATAGTTCTTGATAGCTTTTTGATAAATAATTCGTTCTTATTGCAAAATAGGAGCACTATTTATCAATCTGTAATAAAAGACGCGAGGAAATTCCGTCTTTTTTTGAGACAAAAATTTTTGGGTTGAAAAACCCAAAAAAAAGTTTGGAAAAAAATGACTCCGCCTCAACAGTCATTAGTATCACCTGGCCGAACAGGCTTCCGCCGATGCCTCTGATCAACTCCAAGCTATCCGGGTTCCTCTTTTGCGGCATCAAGCTGCTGCCGGTCGAGTAGGATTCATCGATCGTCACGAACTCAAACTCCTTCGAGCTGAAGATGATCAGATCCTCGGCCAGGCGGCTCAAGTGGATCCCCACCATCGACGCCCAGAACAAGAAGTCGGCTGAAACGACCCCAAAACTGCCCAAAACGTCCAACTGCCCGCCTGCGGGATGGTCTCACCTATAAAATCCCGGTCGCTGACTGCCTGCATGCTATTCTGGGTGATTCTGGAAAAGTGCAGACTTTTGGCCAGCTCAAATCGGTTGATGTTGAAGGGATTGCCGGCGAGCGCGCCGCTGCCCAACGGCAGGATGTCCAGCAGGCGGACGTTGCTGTCCAATCGGTCGCAGTCGTTTTTCAGGTTCCAAGCCAGGCTGTAGCAGGAGTACCACAAAAATCAATCAGGAGTTTGCAGCGGTTATCTTGACTGAAGACACTTTTATTGCCTTTATTCTTCATTGTATATACTTTCCTGACTGTGTTTTATTTATCATATATATCATATATATTCATATCATTTCATGGACTCTTCTCTTATTATAATTACTCTCTTTAATCAGTATTTGTGTGTTATCAAAATCAAAATTATGCAACCTCTGATGTGCATGCAGTGCTAACGCTGTACCATTTTCGTTATTTTTTCTTAGGCTATACTTATGTTCGTATATTCTTTTCTTTAGATATTGTCCTGTTTGACCTATG